AAGGGTGTCTCGGCCAGGCCGAGACACCCCAAGGGGTGTCCTCACTTTTTTACCACCCCCCCTCTTGGTTTCCTATAAATAGCCCCCTTGGGCCTTTGTTTTGATAGAGGAATTTTGGAGAGCCTTGGCGAAGCCCTGCTGCAGTGAAGAGTGGTCGTGCGCTTCATCGAGGAGAGGAGAGGTCTTCATCAGATCTTCATCACCCGTCCGATCCTTAGTATTAGCCCTTGGCGTTAATACTAAGAAGAGCTAATATCTCGCTTTAACCGAGATTGACGCTTTAAGCTTCTAGATCTCACGCGGATCGACGAAGCTCTGTCCGATATTTCTGGATCAGAAGTTTCTAGATCTCACGCGGATCGACGAAGCTCTGTCCGATTTATCCGGATCAGATCTGATTGCCCTGGTGGTCCACGGATATCAACGTCCCCGTCACAGGCCAAAGACCCACGCAAGCAAGAGATGATAAACAGATCTTGCGTTTGTTTGAAAGGAGTTGTATTTCTTTTGTTTTCATTGTGTACCGGTCTTATAAAAAGGCTATCTTTTTGTTTCATTGTAACGATCGAAGTTGTAATGAATGCAGCAATGAATACAGCAACTTTTTCCGCAAACAAGCTGGCGACCACAGTGGGAGCCAATGACATCGCTACCAACGCCGTCGTGACGCAACCGGCATTCGAGATCCAGGTGAATGAAGAATACGAGCTCGATCGACAACAGTTCAAAGAAGGCCTCTCTTCCTCCTCCTCCAGATCCGCCTCTCCAAACGGGTACAGAAAGGTAACCTCGGGTTCAAAGGCCAAGCTTTGATCTGGAGTACACCTGCGTAGATCTGAGATCCGGTCCTCTCGAACTCTTGTCTTATTTGGCGTTGACGATCGCCGAGCACCAGATCTGGATAAGCAAATCCTCGAAGTCCTAAAGTTTGAATCTTTTTTAGATCTGAGTCTTCAATCCAGCAGGGCTTCGCCTCCAAAAAATCCAACCTTTTCAAATGAACAAAGGGGAGCCTATTTATAGGCTCTCTGAACTGTGCCCGCGCACAGATCTGGGTCGGCCACCCATGGGTGGCCGGCACTGGGCCGAGCCACCTGGGCCGGCCACCTATAGGTGGCCGGCACTGGGCCGAGCCACCCATAGGTGGCTCAGCCACCGAGCCACCTATGGGTGGCTCAGCTTTGGCCAAGCCACCCACGGGTGGCTCGGCTTTGGCCGAGCCCCCCTTAGGCGTTTCTGTTTCGTCGTTTTGTCCGTTGTATCTGTTTTTTTCGGTTGACTTAGACTCTGATTTGGCAGTAAATCCACTTCTGAGTTCGAGCCCGAAACCGATCTTGATTCGGTTGTGATTCATCCGAGTCTGCTCTTGTTTGGATGACTCGTTGATTCTTCGAACCCTTGGCTTGATTCCACACATGAATGGATGTATTCCGTTGCTTGCGTGCGATTCGTCAACCTCGTCGCCTCGTTGGTTCGTCGGTTTGTGCCGAGCTATGCTAAGGGACCTATAAGCAATTTTATACGCCTACACTAGACTACTAAAAATTTTAGAACAATGCAGAAGAAAAGAATACAACTTACTACAACCAACTGCAATATGGCAGGTAGTATACAGTTCAATTAACAGTTGCCTGTGAACATACCCAGAATTCAAGTAGCAACAAAAGCATCAATTATTTATTGGTATATCAACTAAGAGGAAACTTTGAGCTACAAAATATCAGTTAAAATATAGTAGACTAATTAAACTTACAGAAAAAGAAAGCTGAGCATGAATCTCTATTGTAAAATGAGAGAAGTGTGAACTTCTTGGATGAGACATCAATTTGGTAACTAAACTGTTAAATTTAGTGAAACAAGTTCTTACCTTCAGCTACCGCATCACAGTATGAGAGATTCATACTTGTGTTGGCATACATTCTCCAATATCTAATTGCATGATATCCTCGGAAAGCTCATCTAATTTTGGTTGCATGTCATCTATCATTAATAAAAAAATAAAAAAAAATCAATAAGCAAATTCATAACATGTATTTGATTCAAAAAAACGTAAAAAATATAACATTAGTATTTGTATACCTTTGATACCATATAACCAATCACGCGTGCAAACTAAAGTCTCCACATTGTTAGGCTTAAGAGTGCTACGGTATTGGTTAAGGATTCTCCCACCTACACTGAAAGTACTCTCCGAAGCAACCGTAGAAATAGGAACCGCCATTATGTCCCTTGCCAATAGAGAGAGCTCGGGGTATCTATGCTCATTAGTCTTCCCTATTGGATAATGAGTTGGCCATCATTAATGATGACCAACTCATTATCCAATAGGAAGATGACATCTCACTTGTCCCTTCTATTGGTCCCATATTTTGGGTCTTTAAAGAATTTTTCTAAAAAATATATGAGAGAATAAATATCATTAGTATATCATTGAAAAAACACAATGTTCAATCATGGAAGGCTCAGAAACCATGAACTGGAGTTACAAAAACTTCCAAAAATGCACATGAAACTTAAATCTTTTCAGAGTTGCTCTTGAAGGCAAATCCTGCTAGCATTCACACACTATATTAGGCATTCAGGAATTTAAAGTACAAATCTTTTAATGATTTGGCTACGGAGAAATAGATCTGTTTCATTGTTAATAGTGACAGAAACATAGTTAAGGGAGCTGCAAAGAATTAGGCAGAAAAAAAAGATTTGTTTCATTGTTAATAGTGACAGAAACATAGTTAAGGGAGCTGCAAAGAATTAGGCAGAAAAAAAAGATTTCGATTGGCAATAAAGAACACACTAGTAGCTAATTTATCTAATACCCCTCACAAAAAGGAATTGATAGACCCCATATTATTGAGACAAATGGATTGTTGATGCTACTGACTTCTAGTTGTTACAGAGGAACATATGAAGATATTTGATTCTATTTCACTGCAAAAAAAAACAGTAGGGGGCAAAAACAGGAGACCAAATTTGATGGTTTGCATTCACAGATAAATCTGACCTGATGCTTAGAAGCTCAATCTCAACAAGGCTCGAGTTCGATTAAGAGTTCTAACAATCAGTGATCTCTAATTTCAACAAACCTACTTTCGAAAATATGATGAAATTTCTGTTTCAAACTAGCTTGTAATTTCAACAAACCTACTCTTTATTCAGTAATTATAAATTCTGAAATTTTAGAAAAATCTGTAGTTTCAAATTGATATAGACTCAGAAAAATCTGTAGCCATTAATCAGACGTCATTAACATTAGCAGATCTGTAGCCATTAATCAAAAAGCCCTAGCTAAGAGTGTACCTCGCCGCTCGTCGAGGATCGTCGAGGATCTATGGCCGCTAGTTCGATGGAGAGAGAGAGAACTATGACTGCTTGATGGAGAGAGGAGAACTCGAGCGCTGCCCCTCGCCGCTCGTCGAGGATCGCTGCCGCTCGCCGATGGAGAGAGGAGAACTTAGCTTCGAGGATCGCTGCCGCTCGCCGCCCCTCGCCGCTCGAGAGGAGAGAGAGAAATCTAGGGCTTCGTTTGAGAGAGACGAAGGGTTAGTCGGGTCTGTAGAGGTTCACTTGGGTAAATTCGGGTTAGATGAGTGTTAGACGGGTCAGTAGACGGGTCAGTAGATCAACCCATCTAATAAACGGGTAAATTCGGGTTGACCCATTTATGACCCAACCCATATAACTTGATCCATACCCAATATAAATGGGTCGGGTCGGGTCGGGTTGATGGGTTGGGTCATAAATTGCCACCCCTACCTAAATAGTCGGGGTTACCAACCCCGACTATTTAGGAGGGTGTTAAACCCTAATTAGAAACCTTAAACCATACAAATTTAAGTCCTAAATAGTCGGGGTTGACAACCCCGACTATTTAGGAATGTGATTAGGCTGCTAATAAAAAAAACGGGTCGGTTTTGGTAAATAAAAAAAACAGGGTCGGTTTTGAAAAATAAAAATTTAAAAGGGACTGTTTTGAAAAATTGTTCTTTTAAATTATTCAGTTAAATGAAGATAACTATAGAATTATAAAGTAATTAAATCAGTTTAATAAGATATAACAAGAAAATTGAAGCTTATATGATTTGTTTGAGGAATTGAGGATGGACAATTTGACGGAGCAAAATAGCAAATTATAATGATTTCTGGGTAAGTTCATAAATATCTATTATTTGTGGATATGTATGAAAAATCCTTCGTCTTAAAACAAATGTAATATCGGTGAATTTTAGCTGTTGAAAGAAATTATCCCCTCCGAAAAAAAAATTATAATGAAGAGAACCCTGATAAGATGCGAGGTTGGGGAAAAAAGAAAGGAATTTGCTTTTAAACTGTAAAAATTGTTTGGGTTGATGAATATTAATATCAGTTGATCATCCGTTTGCGGCCGTTACAACTTTGTTATCATTCTGTGTGTTTTATCTTTTATAACTTAAATTAAAAATCCCCGTTTCTTTTTTCTTTTATATTAATTCAAAATTTTGAAACTCAACCATGCTGACAAAACCGTTGGAATGAAATCATATTTTATAAGAAAATCAAAAGATCGCGGGAATGAAATTAGAACTCAGAACTTTGCTCAGATAAAGCGGACTTCTAACGCGGGAAAAAAGAAAATAAATTAGGAAGAGATACTCCATTTTAGTCAGTTGGAAGCTGTTCAAATGATTTAGATAACGACCTGGATTTCGATTTAAAAAGATTTGTCTCATTTTATAGTACCTTTTCTTTTCTGGGTAACAATGTCAAATACATGGCATCAGATGAATGATGTTTGGAAAGCATTAACTGCATTCAATTTTATTTAAAATTATTACCCATTTCAATATAACACCTCTTGGTTTCTTACTCTCCTTTGAATTGTTATTCTCCTTCTCGTCTTATACACCAGGTCTTTTGCTCTCGTGAGAGAAACCATTTGCTTTTGGATTTGTGCCATAGATAGAGTTGAAGCTTTTTAGAAGAATCTCCAAGATCAGGAAGATACATCTAAGAGAGTAGGGGCGGAAAAATTCGAAGCAGCCTGGAATCGATAAAAGTTGAGCTACAGGTTTTTTTAATTTTTTTTAATTTTTTTTATTTTTATGGAGCTCTATCTAATTTGATTAAAAAGAAGTGAGCATAAAGGAAGGACACATTCCTTTATCATGTTATTCTTTTTTTTTTATGTTGTTGCACACCAAATACTTGATTCTTTCCTTGTTATAGGTTTTTTCCCCAACTCAGTTCCAACGTAATGCTTAATTCGTTTTTTGAAAACCACTATTGTCTTTAAAACCACTATTTTAAAAAGTGGTATTGTGATAAGTGGAAATCTTACACGACTTCATCTCAGCACTTGAAATTAGAATGGAGGACAAGGATTACAGTAATTATCACCGCCTAATTTGAGAGAATCCCGATCCCCTAAGTATTGAATTATTCTGGTGAGCTTAATGATTCAGCGTGTTTCATTTGGTCGCTCACATTAGTCAAAAGATAAGTGGTGTGTTATAAAATACTATGTAGTTTGTTGAGAGGATTCATGTCGCCCACCCCAAAAACTTGGGATAAAGGCTTTGTTGCTGCGGTTGTTGTTGCTGCTCCTATTGTTACTATGTATAGTAGATAATAGATTTCAAATACAATGCTTTCTTCGCATTTGATGTTATAGTAGCTTGATTTGCACTTGGCGTATTTATTGGTGATATAATTTAGCACCCAAAGCAACTTTTTTACACTTTGCTGATGTGTTTTGTCTAGTAAAAAGGGTTTCACTTTTGACATACATACTTTCTAAACATATTCAGATTCTGTCCTCTCTCTATATTACTTGATGTAATCGCGGAAATATTTAAAACAATCATGTATAATATTTAAAGCAGAGGCCTCTAGGAGCATATGGTAATTCCAGTCACCCCGGTACAGAACAATATGCAGTGATTACTTCTTTCATTTTTGGCACCTCTAAATCTTCCCTTTGTTTTATTTTCTTGTAAAATAGTATATATTCTCTATTACTAATTAAACATTACCAGAGGTGGCATCCAGTTGCGAGGATTTCTGTGTCTTTTTGTGATTCCAGTGTCGGAAAATCATGTCAAGACCTGGAACAACCAGACAAAGGTTGATTAAGCTTTCTATAATTAAGACAACCATATTTGTTAACATTAGTTTTCCTTTGTGCTATCTGTAAATTCAATGACCTCTCATTCTACTGCATTATAATTTGCAAGGGGTTACACAGGATGCCAAACAATTCTATGATTATTGATATAAGAATAATCCTTGGAGTCGTGTTGGGCTTCTTCATGGGAAGTTTACTTTCTCCAGCCATCATAAGCATGGTATAATTTTTCCCTTTTTACTACACTTGTTTCACAATTCTCATATAAATACCATTAGTAGAATACTTAGCTAATTTAACGTATCAAAATACCAGCTGGACTTTTCTTCTAGGATATCGTGCATTGAAGATAGCAGTCCTGCGCGAATTCGACAGGAACATGCCAAGTCTTCTTCATATAATCAAACTACAACATATTTATTAAGTTCAAATGTTTCTCAGGTATTTTGCCAACATTATTCAATTACGAATTCTGGGCTTATGTACATGTGCAGATTGGATACTGATGTACACATGATTCACTAGATTTCTATTCATGTGGTTTATCTGGAATAATACGCACAAAAGTTATGAATAAATTTGGTGTATTCCTTATTTATATTGTCTATAAAATGGGACGACGAGATACCTTATGAGAGACATCCAATACTTTATTCAATATAAAAAAAGGTGTGCTTGTATGTTGAATTAATATCAACTCGCATGTTGTATCTTTACTTTGTAGAGAAAAAGAAGTTTATCATATACATTGTGTAACTTAAGGTGTATATACACATACAACATATTCCAGGTCGTCAGAGTTATGGCAGAACCATTTATGTAATCTTAAAATCATTCATTCAAGCCAAAAATCAAGTCACCTTAAAATTTCAAGGAAATACCGATCTCATGGTAAATAATTAGAAGGGTTAATGAGAGTTATTTTGAGTTGATTGACCTATAAAGTGAAATTTCAGAGTGCTTGATGGTCCATCTGTTTTTTGGATTACATGTATTGTTTAGGGTACAGTTACAATGTGATCCATATATCCACTTTATAGTTCATGCTTCAAAGAAACATTGGAGACACATATAACATGTATGCCTTATTTTTGCACAAGACTAAAATTCATAAGTCAATTATGGATGCTTCTACAAGTTGAATCTTGTGGGAGACCAAATTAGTTACAACTCTTTTTATCATGTTTGAGTAGTGTGTGTCTGGGTTCCCATCTTTATGCTCTTATTTTGCATCCAAACTTCTGTAACATGCGTTTCAAAGATCTAATCAGTATTTTAGTGCTCTATAACTCATCCCCTGTCTGTTTCTGTCTCAATCGAGAAACTGAAATTTCATCTTTTAAAGTCATGGTCAACCAGATAGCAAATCTTTGGTGACTTGCTGGGTCAAATTTTTATAATTTTTTTGTTCTTCGGAATAGAAGTTATTGAATTAAACAAAGATGAGCGGTGGCTCAATGTGTTATGTGTTAATCTTCAATAGAAGATGCAATTCTTAAAATTTTGGCGACTCTTAAAAGGTGAGCAGTGGCTCAATGTGTTGTGTGTTAATCTTCAATAGAATATGCAATTCTTAGAATTTTGGCAACTCTTATCAAAACATCCTTTCTAAAAAAATGTAGTTAGTAAATATATATTTTCTTTTCTTTTCGATAATATGTGATAATTAATACTAAAGAAAGGTAGACTAAGGAGACATTATTTACACTTTTATATATAGACTTTTTTACTTTAACAACCTTGCATAGTCAAAACCTTTTTAATACGTACTATTGTTAAGCTTCAAAATATCGGTATCTATATAAAGTTCCATTTTCTTAAAAATCTACTAAATTGATACAAAGATAGTTAAATAGGGATTCATGCGATAGTTAAATAGGGATTCATGCGACATTAGCAGATAATTTGTTATGCTGTTTTATGAGGGCCAGAATTTTCAATACTTTTTTTTCGTGTTTTTATTAGATTGCACCACTCTACATAGTTATTAAAGGTGAAGTGCTTATTGAAAAATATGAAAGAGAATTTAATGCCTGACGCAATAATGCTTCAACTGAAGTCGGTCAAAACGTCTCTTGTGGCTAACGATAGGTCGTAGTTCAAATCTATCTGTGTTATTTGTGTACCCTTCATATTATCTGTTATTTACTCCTGCTTGGTATGCCTATAGAAAACGAATGTAAAATTTAGAGATGCGAAAATAATACTGTTCTTCGTTCCTCAAAGTGGTTAATTTGTTTGGTAAAACATAAAATTTAAATTTAATAGTACTTCTGGAAGGAAATATATGCATGAGGGGTTCTGGATGTGTATATATCTTCTTTTTTTTTGTCCTCTAGCTTAGATTTGCATCCATGTGACAGAAACAGTTCTCTATTGCAATGCTGATCAATTAATTTAAGGTCATTTTTTTATAATCATTTGTGGATCATGGGTGGCATGAGTTTTGTACAAGTGTCAACCTTTTTCCTTTTTTTGCATAACACAGAAACTTGATCGATATTGTGTTTCATGAGAACAGCATAGGAGGTCTAGCATATTCCTTTTTATGAAACTCATTTAAATTAAGCAGTACAGGGTTAAAAGGCTTTGAGGTTTCACTCTTAACTAAAAGTACCATATTTCACATCATGTATATAGCATTCCTTTTTTAACTTTTCTTATATATATTTCATATAACTTTTATGAATACATATTACAACATGTCTTTTTGGAAATATGTTGATTTTCATTTCCCTTCCGGTAAACGCTGGCTTCACTTCTCTTGATTGTTCCCTTTATGTTGCTCTAACTTTCTTCTGATTTAAATGATCTTATTTTATGCCTTAGTGTTCTAACCAAGATTAGATTTAATACAACCATCTTGTTATCTTTTGTATCGTTAAGTTTTCAAAGTACATGGCGCAGATCAATGTTCCCACAAGTTCTAGAGGTGCAGAAAGACTACCACCAGACATTGTTGTGTCAAAATCAGATTTTTATCTTCATAGGTTGTGGGGTAACTGGAGCGAGGTATGCAGTGGTAATCTTGAAGAGTAGAAGTGTTTACACTACACGACACACAGTGTTTTTAAATATCCTCGATATAACTGACATATCGCCTGATATATACTTTTACAAGGTTTTTTGCAAAACGATATTGTTTAAATATATTTTACTGTTTTTGGCAATTTTTGGGCAATATATCCCTAACATTGCAAATATGTCCTTTTATATGATTGTCGTAAAACAATATAGTTCTGCAGAATCTCTTCTATGTATTCTAGTATGTTTAGATTTTATTATGTTTAGATTATATTTTAGAACATTATATTATATATGCACATGATTTGATATGACACTCCAATATTTACTACATTCTCCGATATTTCCCCATTATCTGCAATTCAATAAGGATTTTGGCCGTCCAATATTTCCTTGATATTTAAACCCTTGATGACAGATTGTTGTCTAAGAAAAGTTGTGTTGCACTATTACTAGTTATAATACTATTGAATGTCCCTTACATGCATTATCGTTGAATGATAATGTTGGACAAGAAACCTGATAATCTTGTGTTGTTTAGGAATAAAGTGATCCTCTGTAGCTATTAGGATCTGCCTTATGAGAAACTCATTACATTTTATTCAGATCATGGAAGTTGTACGTCTGTGTGTGTTTTCGTTTGTGTGTGTGGGTGTGTGGGGTGTGCCGGTGTGTGCCTTTTTCTTGTGCATGTGCGTGCACACGCTTGCATGTGCTTGTATGTGTGTTTCTGTGCATGTCATGTATGCATATGCATATGAGTATGCATCTGCGCGCATTGATATGTGTTTGTGATCCTGTTTTATGTGTATGTGGATTGGGCTATGCTTTGACTTCTAAAACAGCCACTTAGAGAAAGAGGTGTTAGACCCTAGAGGGGGGGTGATTAGGGTCTTATGCTAATCTAATCCGATTTTATGTCAATTAAAACTAATTAACAAGTTATCCTAGCAAGTATAAAATACAACAAGATATATGAGCTAGGATAAGTGATATACACAAAGTTATCCTAGCAAGTATAAAATACAACAAGATATATGAGCTAGGATAAGTGATATACACAAGGGTAAAAAAAATAAACAAGATAGTGGATGATATAAATAATGAGCAATGGATAATGACGACAAGAAATATAAACATAAGAGAAGTGCGCCAAAGCAAACTCAAACACACGATATGATCACGGAGTTCGGACCTTCCGTTCTACGTCTCCGCTCCCTACTCCTGGGGAGAAATCCACTATCACAACCGGGTTTTCTACGCTCACCCGAATAACGTTTACACCTCACAATATCGGTTTTTAACGCTCACCGATCAACGTTCATAAACACTCACAATGTTGGTTTTCAACGTTCACCGATCAACGTCTACACTCCATACCTCACAACAACAAATGATTTGTTCTCTGATATGGATGAGAACATAATGTAAGCTCACTCTCAATGATACAATCCCACAACCCAAATTATACTATGAATGTAAATACAATAAGCTCAATGGTTATGTGTGTAAGCAATGAGAAAAATAATCAACTAAACTCAATTAAATTCTAGCATATAGAGATTATGAATAAAACAATAAATAGCTAGAAATAGAGTTTAGAAATTTTTCTCTGAAAAACAAAATGGAGAGGTGGATTAAAATGAGGCTTAATCAATGAAGATGATCTTCTCCACTTGTAAAACAATCTTCACAAACCAAACAAACTTTAAACCCAACTAAAACCCTTGTTAAAACTCTTTTAAACTTCTTTAAAACTTTCCATTGGGTTAGTTCTGGTAGAAGGGGTTTGAGGGGTTTATATAGGAAGAGAAACCAACAGCAAAAACCCCAAACAAAAGATAAAAAACCCCAAAGAATCAGAAATTTGATTCTGTACCAAAAATAACCATTGGGCAATCGACGGTCGACCATGGAAAACTCGCGGTCGACCGCGAGCAGCAAAAAAGCCAGGGTTTGGCTACAGAAAAACATCCGTGGCGATCGATCGCGAGAACATCCGGTCGATCGCCACGGTCGACTGTGAGCCTCTGAAAAACTTCCTGAGTCTCTGGAGTCAGAGGCGGTCGACCGTGGCGGTCGACCGCAAATTGATATATGAAAAAAACGGGTTTAGAAGCAGTTTGATGATTTTGAAACCCTGTTTAAAAATATCAAATAAATTCTAAAAAATATAAAATTTTGAGAAATAATTGTAGACATGATAATACACATGCTATATAAACTAGTTTTTAAAAAGGACCTCCCAAATAAAAAATATCATCATTTTACAAAATAGTCCAAAACATGAAAATGTGAACATATGAGTTTTGACATTTTAGCTTAACCATGTTTTGAAACAATATAAAATAATTTTATAGACTTGATGAAAGATGTAAACTATTGTTATGAAGTTTATAAACAATAAATATAGTATTTTATCAAAATACACATATAATGCACTAAAACATGATTTCATTGAACTAAATAAAATTGATATTGATAAAATCATATATATACATGTAAGTATGAAATAAAATATGTTTTCTAATTATATTCAATTGTTTCATATTAAAACTTAAAAACTATCAACCAAAGCATATATGTATATATATAACTATATATATACGAAACCAAAGCGTGTATGTGTGTATATGATTGAGCTTAAAGTACTAACACACATAATATAAAACCTAACACTAAATTTACCCAAGCTTGATCTTGATCTTCAATAGCTTGACTTGGTAATCTTACGGATGAAGCTTGAACTTGGATCTTCAACTTGAATTGCAAGGCTTTACTCCACAATTCCGCCAACCTTCATTGGATATGATCGTGAATGTGTAATTCCATCCATCCTCCAGCTTGTTGTTTGTCTACAATAAATAAAAATACATCAATACTAGACAAACAACATTAGATGTAAATTGTTTGTAAATCATCATCAAAACAAGAAGGCCAACAAGAGGTAGTCTAAATAGGACTTTGTACTAACTAGTACATTGATAGAACAAATGAAATGTTTAAAACAAGTTGTTGGATGCCTTGTTGGTGTATAAGTATAATCATGGTGGAAAATTCATCCATGTGATTAGAAGAAGCATATGTTAATTATCGAGATTTATAAGAATAGATTCTCTGTCTTTAGTTTAGACCAATAGAAAATTTTAGTAGAGTATAAAAAGAGGCGACAATTGACTGATGGAAGATTGCTAGCAAGAAGATGAATGAGGTCTGTTCTCCTAGAAAATCCCCTTTTTAGGTTAAATTTTCATGTTAAATTAGGTAATAATTGTTGGGAAAAGGCGGATGATTGAATGCTCTTTCCCCGTCATCTGTAAATAAAATGGATTAATAAAACAAATAGTAATAAAATAATCAAAAGAAATAATCAGTAGGACACTAGTATTTTTAACATGGAAAACCCTTCAACTAAATGTGAAAATCACGGGATCTAGTCCAGAAGAAAAGCTTCCACTATAAAAATATTGGGTACAAAAGTTTTCTCTCTAGACACTTTATCTTGCATCACCTGTCTTCAGTGGTCTTTGTCTCTATGAGATTGAGCATCCTAAAAACACTTAGGCTCCTCCTTATTAGTAACTAAAATGTATTCAGTAGAAAGATACCTCATAGATGGTTGATAGACTCTCTTAGACCTTTTGAACTAAGGTTCTTCACATTCTTGAGGAGTTGGATCTCCATCTTCATTAGCTTCTCCATCATCATCGTCATCATCAGTCTTGTTCATCACTGGCGTATCTTGCACTTTGTCTTGCACATCTCCCCTACTATAACATCCTCTAGTGGAGAAGGAACTATTATAGAGTTAGAATTTCCATCAACCTCGCCATCTGACTTCTCGTCGATTGTTTGGTCTTCATGAAAGACCATATCTCTGCTTCTGATAACTCTCCTTTTTATATGATCCCATAGAATGTACCCGAATTCTTCATCTCTATAGCCAATAAAGATGCATAAGATTGCCTTGTCATCAAGCTTTCATCTCTGCTCCTTTGGAGCATGTGCAAATACTTTGCACCCAAGCATCTTCAGATAAGAATAAGAGATATTTTTTTGTCCATACTCTCTCTAGAATATCGAATGGTAAAGAAGTCTATGTAGATTGGTTGATCAAGTAGCACACCGTGCGAACTACTTCTCCCTAAAATATCTTGAAAATGTTCTCCATCTTTAGCGTGCTTCAAACTCTCTTCATGATGGTGTGATTCATCCTCTCTATGACACCATTGTGTTGAGGAGTACCTGGTACAATATTTTCATGCTGCATACCATGACTAGAGTAATAGCCTTTGAACTCCTTGAATGCGTACTCGCCTCCTTTATCTGTACGAGACACTCTAAAGGCTTCCCAGTCTCTCTTGTTAGACCCTAGAGGGGGGGTGATTAGGGTCTTATGCTAATCTAATCTGATTAAATGCCAATTAAAAACTAATTAATACGTTATCCTAGCAAGTATAAAATACAACAAGATATGTGAGCTAGGATAAGTAATATGAACAACAAAGAGATATATCCTATATGATGAATATGTATATATGCAAGGATATATAAACAACACAAGGGTAAAATAAACAATCTACACAAGTGATAGGGTAATATGATGAGCAATACACAAAGGCGATATAAGATATGAAAACAAGAATAAGAACGCCAATGCAATCACAAACAAAACGATATGTTTACGAGGTTCGGTCTCCACGACCTACGTCCCCGCTCCTCACCTCGAGGAGATCTCCACTATCACAATCGGGTTTTCTACGTTCACCCGAACAACGTTTACACCTCACAATACAATCACTATGTAATCACACCTCACACACTAAGTGTTGGTCCTAGCCCGTGTCCTCCTCCTCAAGTGCTCGGTTACAACCTCTCCCTAGGCACGTCAACCGACGCCACTCCTCTTGGATTCGACCCCGTCTCTCACCACACACTTCTCTCGGTGTACAAGTGTATTACAAGTGAATCCTCACAATAAGCACAATATAAATCAAATGATTTGTTCTCTAAACAAGGTGAGAACTCAATTAAGCACAACTCTAAGTCACTAATCTCACAACCCAAAATTATACTATGAATGTAAATACAATAAGCTCAATAGGTTGTGTGTGAACAAAGAGTATCAATAAAACAATTAAACTCAATATATAAATCTAGCTTATGGAAATTAAGATCAAAACAATAAATAGCTAGAATTGAGTTTAAGGAAAACTTCTCTATAGATCAAGAGTGAGAGAGAGATGAGTTGAATGCCCAAACACCAAAGAATGATCTCCTCTTTGCTCTTGTGAAATTTGCTTCACAAACTAAACTCAAACAAACTCTTAAACTCTTTTAAACAAAACTTAAACCCTTGATTAAAAGCTTTCTTAAACTTGTTTTAAAACTCTCTTGGCTAATTTGAAAAGACATCAGCAATGGGGTATATATACCCACTAGAAATCTCAGCAAAAACCCCCAAAACAAATGACAAAACAGCCCCCAGAGAAACAGCTCAGAAATAGCCGTTAGAAGTCCAACGGTCATATTGTCGGTCGACCGAAAATCCCGTCGGTCGACCGATGAGAGCAAAAACACGAAGAAAATGTTCTGGACTAACGTCGGTCGACCGGAAATTCTGTCGGTCGACCGATTTGAGCTCTCGGTCGACCGATGCGAGCTCTCGAACATGTTACAAAAAGAATTTTCCAAATTGCATTTCCCATTTGTGAAAAATCATCATTTTGCAAAATAGTCCAAAACATGAAAATATGAGATACTTGAATTTTGATGTTTTGACATAAACCAACTTTTGAAACTTTGTGAAATGTTTTTATAGACTTAGTAAAACATGTATAAACTGATATTGAAGTCTATAAACTAATAAGACAATATTTTCATAAAATTACATATTCTATGCAATAAGTACTGAAACACAATAGAGTATGTAATATCATGAAAACCAAAACACATGTATGTATATATATAACTATATATATGCATAAAAACCAAAACTTATGTATATATATATATATAACTATATATATATACGAAGAAACCAATAAGTGTGTGTGTATAGATATTGAGCTTAACGTACTTAACACACATAATATAAACTCTAAAACTACATTACCCAAGCAATCATGATCTTCAATTAAGCTTGACTTGGTACACTTGCGGATGAAGCTTGAACTTGATCTTTAACTTGAATTGTATAGGCTTCAACCCGACATTCCGCCAACCTCCTTTGGATATCATCGTTGAAGCGCAATCCATCCAACCTCCAACTACGTTGTTTGTCTACAATAAATAAGAATACACAAACACTAGACAAATAACATTAGTAGTAAATTGTTTGTAAATCATCATCAAAACAAGAAGGCCAACATCTCTCTCTCTCTCCGCCATAGCATGAAACTTCTGAAAACATTCAAACACTTGGTTTTTTGTTTTCAGGTTATACGCCTATAATATTTTGGATACATCATCAATAAAAGTGACAACATACTTATCGCAACTGAGACACTTTTCTTCAATGGGACCACAAACATCAGAGTAAACCAAATCTAACATATTAGATTTTTTGTGGGAATATTTACTGAATAAAACTCAATGTTGCTTGTCAAATAAACAATTATTACATGGGTATAGAGAAATAACTTTGGTCAAGGAAATTAGTTTGTTCCTTACCAAAATCTATAAGCCCTTCTCGCTCATGTGACCCAGCCTTTTGTGCGAGAGATTTGGAGAAGAGTTTTCCTCCACCGTGTTCAGGCTGTCACCACACACCTTTGCCTGAGTTCGATTCAGTGTGCCGAATACTTTTCCTTTGTCAACTACCAAAGATCCTTTGGTGAATTTCCATCTTCCGTTGCCAAAGTAGTTTTCGTAGCTGAGTCGGTCCACATCAAGCCTAAGGCTCAAATCAAGAATGTACCGTACGTCCTTCAAGGTCATCGCGCATCCAATATTTGTTTGTAGACACATATTAGTATATTACCAATCCCGAACAATATTGACTGGTGTTTCCCATCTTCACGACGACAAAGTCACCGGCGATGTGAAACTCCTTGTTGGGTGTTGCATGGTATGAAGTTGCTGTGTCGACTACCCAGCCAACATCATCGTCTCCAACGTGCAAACATTCTTCTCTAAGAGTGAGAAGAGCCATCTTCACCATCTACAATGGTGGTTGTGTAGTTGTCATCATTCTCATTGTTGCCTCCTTTCTGTTCCTTCTTCAACTACCTACACAACTTCTTCTGATGTTACCTTCCTTGTGGCAATAGTAGCACTTTACCGCAGGTCCTCTTGATTTTGATCTATTTCTAAAATTCCCGCGAAAAGTCAGCGGTGTTTTGCTCTTGCTTCTTCCTCTATCTTCTGTGACTAGGGCTTATGCATGTTCTAAGCTTAGCGCCTTTCTTTTGGTTTCTTCATTGAGTTCCCTTCTAGTAAAACAACATTATCGACACGACGCTGTTCCAGAACAATTGCTTACGCTTACCACAAGGGCATGCTAGCTGTTCGACAATGACCCCTAAAAGAGCAACGTTTATACTTCACCGTCAATAGTGACTTTCATTCCCGCTAGCAATTCCTAATGCTTTGGAACTTGTTCAAGTGCTCTGCGCAATAGGGCTACCATCTTTTTACTTCAAATTTGCAAGGATTTTATTTAAAAACGCCTTGTTTGTAATTGTCCTTGGAGTAAGCATTAGTTTCTCATTAGAAATTTGATGAAACACACTATCATCTACCCATTGTGTAATAATTCCAATGATCTTTCTATTTTCTTTCTTCCAGTCTGCATCAGACTTACTTGCTGATTTTTCCTCCTCATCTTCGATCGGATCATACAAATCCTTATAGAAAAGGATATCCTCCATCTTAGGTGTTCAGATTAGCCAATTAAAATTATAGAGCTTGATCATGGTACTATTAGTACCTACTAGTCTCCTTTATATCTTGTACAGAGGGGATAGCTTTACCAATCCCTAATACTAGGTGTTGGTAAAAGCGGAACGTTTGAATGTTATTTCCCCTTCCTCTCTATAAATATAATGGATTAAAAAGATAAATAATAATAATATGACCAAAGGAAATAATTAGTAGGACACCAGTATTTTTAATATAGAAAACCCTTCAACTAAAAATAAAAATCATGGTATCTCATCTAGAAAAAAACTTCCACTATAAAAATAATGGCTACAAAAATTTTCTTTGTAGACACCTGGGTAGAGCTACACTAGCAACAAACAAGATAGAAAAGAAGATTACTTCTGCACCGGAGAAGGAACACAAAAGACTAAAACTCTCTTTCTTTTTTACTCTCTTTTCTTTTCTCTCTCACTCAAGTTCTCTGTGACTTGAGTTGTTTTGCATGTTGCTCTTCTTCTACTTCTTCAGTCGGAGGTGTGGAGTATTTATTAGGAGAAGCAGGGTTGTGGGAAAATAACTTGCTGCCGCAAAATAAGGTGAGATCTGATGCTAGCCCACAATGTTTGACAAACTCTCCCCTCACCTTCATTTCACGTTTTCAATATTCACATGAAATTTACACATCTTAGTCAATGGTTCATATCCCTCCAAAAATAGGGGGGACCCGCACAATAATAATATATTGCATCGAGGGCAATTAATCGCGCCAAGTGACCATTTGACATGAGTAAAGCAAACTATAGATTAACTATAGATGTCTGCATGAATGAATACATTGTAAGCTTGGCATTACTCTTCTGAAATACGGATTAGTGAATTTGTGCTATCAGTCTGGACATGTGTGTCCACCATTTGATTTGTTATTCATTTGATAAATTATGCTTTCTAATGATGCAGAGGTTTATTACTCGTCTATGCATGATACCAAATAATGTTGCTTTAATGATCTGCGTGCAGGACCTACCATTCAAACAGAAGTACCTCGTATCATTCACTGTTGGCTATGACCAGAAAAAGAATATTGACGCTGCTGTGAAGAAGGTTAGTACTTGCACTGTGAACTATTCACGAGGTGAAAGCTTGATAGCTGCAACTGCTTAAATAATAAGTACAGCAGCACAAATGCCACTTACCTGTTTATAGTATGATAACTCGATTAATTTCACTGTACTTATTAGTCAAAGTTCATGACATCTATTTTCATGTGATCTATCTTCTTGTTGTTATTCCTCAATTTACTACTTCATGATGACAATACTTGGATATAAGCTGATCATATTTTTATCCGAACAACAGCTCAGGAGACATGGAATTTAAGTAGTCAGAATGCGGCTTTATTTATTTATGAATTGTAATATAATGCAAAATTGTTGCTAGAACAGCCATGCTGAGCTGAAGTGACATGAGGTGGCACTGCAGAACTGTCAGGCATCATGCGGCTGCGGGGGCCGGGAAGCAAATAATGTTTCCTCCCTTAATTGTCGCATTTAATTAGGTGTGATTTCCCACCTTGAGTTTTTAGTGGGTACCAAGTATACTTGGGTTTTGTTCTTCAGCCGATTATGTAACACAGCACATATTTGGGTATCAGTTCCTTGACAGGATCGAAGCCGCCGCAGAAGTCATTAAGTACATGGTACAACCCATTCTGCAGCATGTCATAGGCAGTATCTTATGATATGTTGACCTAGTTACTTCTTTCTCCAAGTTGCGGTGTGGTGGCCTCAAGATTTTGTAAAATCATCTAGGGTATCAATAAGCTTCCCAATAGGTTTATAAATTTAAATGCTGATTGTGCCAGGTGGGTCAGAAGTTGTAATCATGTTGTCAATGGATCTGATTTTTAATTGCTGCATTGCATCAGCTAGGCCAAAAGAAATCCGATCTATATATGATCACTAGAAAGGAAAGTTTGACTTTGTGAGGGAATGAAGAAACGTCCGTGCATGTGAGGAATGAACTTATAATAGCCACAATAAAAGGACCGGCACGGCATTGCAACCTCCACTCCGTGCATAATACATGGCAGACCGAGTAGCAAGGACAAAGAGAACAGAGAAGTGGGACAACATCAATTACATTTGAAATTGAAACCATTCCTTCACTTAGGACTAAGTAAAGATGAAACTGTATTTATGGTCGTAATAACACTAGACATCCCAAAAGCATCCTCTTGGTGCTAGAACTTCATCTTTTAAAAGGCAATTCATATACCAGTTCTGGTCTTGTTGTAGCATCTGCAGCTTATAACACAAGCAATAGATCTTCTCAACTTGTACAAGAGCATGGTTTAATTCATGTCAATGCTATCAGAAAAGCTTACACTGATTTCCAACACTAATTTCATTAAGATAACATAATTTATTTATGTTTTGCTAAGTCCAATACTCAAGCAGCACTTTGTATTCTGGGCGAACGCGGGTTAATATACATGACTGATGCTTAACACCGTAAAAATAGAGAAATTGGTATCTGGTGCAAACGGTGCAATCAGAAGCAAAAGAGAGATATATGGGGTATTAGTGATTAATCTATATTTATTTAGTTGATTGCATGGGGAAGTTCTGATAAATAGAAGTAAGATGCTATTCTGTTTCTGTCATCACCCTTCTGCTATTAAGGATTAGCGCATACATCAGTTCGAGGTGGTATCAATGGATAGAGCATGTATAGTAGGTGAAATGCAGCAGAGTGTCAATTCTTTTGATGATTCATGTTCATTTAGTAGAATGCACCTACGTACCATAATAAATTTCACCATATCATTTCATAGGATACTGAAACAGATGAGGCTTAAAACAACCAACTTTGCCATAGTGACCTGACTCAATGGTATTGCACTATGATTGGTTGAAAATTCCAGGTTGGAGTCCAAGCTACATCCTTTTTAACAATAGAAAAGTGTCTGAAAGTAAAAAAAATAAAAAATAAAAAATATACTGGGGATAATCCTTGAAGAGCATGCATGTTGACACAAATAGTGGATGACCCACCCTTAAGACAAAAAGATCTAACATTTTTGGATGAAAAAGGTGTATTCAGATATCAAAACATGAAAAAATAATAATAATAAGTAGAAGTGAGGATATTTCGTTCATTTTGGATATTAAAGATTTAAGGGGTTATATATTACGACAATGAAGATCAAAAGGGGGTATATGTTAAATATCCAGAAAAATGCCTAATGTTTTCTTGCTGCTGTGTTTGTGTATAACTTGACCGATTTGCTTAATCGATTTACTTTTTATTATTTGGTCTCTACATGTTCTGGATTTGCTTGTCTGACTACATATTTTACTACAGTTTTCTGGAAATTTTACAATCTTATTATTCCATTATGATGGACGTGTAAATGAGTGGGATGAATTTGAGTGGTCAAAACAAGCTATCCATATAAGCGCCAAGAAGCAGACTAAATGGTGAGGAATCAGTAAGCACTATTCAATTTGCAGATTCATCTTTTAAGAGAAAGTTACAGCACTAGGGTTGAGATTGTGGGATTTACATTACAACCTATGGATATCGTTATTGGTTGAAGGTGGTATGCTAAGAGGTTCTTGCACCCTGACGTTGTGGCTCCTTATGAATACATTTTTATATGGGATGAAGATTTAGGAGTCGAACATTTCGATGCTGAAATGTGAGTCAGGCTTCTTTATCCGGTTGCTTTAAGATCTATTTATTGCAGGCTTCAACATTCTTTCTTTTTCATTTCCAGGTATATCAAACTGGTGCAGAAGCATGGCTTGGAGATTTCACAACCCGCTGTTGAGTCAAAGGACAAAAACATAACGTGGCAACTGACTAAAAAGAGAGACGATGTCGAAGTCCACAAGTGAGTTCTGCACTATGTTATCCGGATACTTCTATCATGAAGCCAAACTCATATCTGACACTTCCCATAACCGTACCCATATCCGGTACTTCTTAAACACTCTATAGATATATGGCATACATCTGTGCAGACGTGTACTCAGGTATACACTACATGTTTCAATTTAAAACACTCGTCATACACTTCTTAGACATATATCCTAAACTACACATCTATTTTTGAAACTTAATTATTAGACAATGATCGAGTTCATTTCAACCGTAAGAACTGGGATTTCAGAGGGTTGTTAATTTGCCTATTTAGCTCATAACAATGATTACAGCTTGTGTTTCAGCCGTGTCCCAACCTTTTGCAAATTTGTCATGTTCTGTACCCATACCCGTATCCATATCCATGAAACTTAGGTTCTGCAGAATCTTCAGTTTCCCCTTTTTACATTTGCCTGATTCCTCACTGTGGCACTTCTAGTAAAAAATAAATATGTGTGCACTTCATTTGTTATGTCTGCTTCATATTTTCTGGCTGATTTTTTCTTGTAGAACAATAATAACAGATGAGAATCAAGGCTGCTCTGATCCCCATCTCCCTCCTTGTGCTGCGTAAGATTTGTTTTAGAATTATACATGATAGTTCTTTTCGTTATTTGCATCCACTTCTTATCAATAATGTTTATCATTGTTTAGATTTGTGGAGATAATGGCACCTGTTTTTTCTCGAGATGCATGGAAATGTGTTTGGCATGTGATTCAGGTGAATGTGATTATTTTTTTCCCAAAGGATTCTCTCTGTCTCCAACAGATTTTGCGATTGGATATGGTGTTTTTTTTTTTTTTTGTTACAGAATGACTTGGTTCATGGATGGGGACTTGATTTTGCATTTAGAAGATGTGTGCAGGGGGTATGGCTCTCTACGTGCATCTCACTTTCTCTAATAACAAAAAATAGTTTTCTCCTTTTATCAATTAATGATTGCAATTTGTGTTTCTCCACCGTCTAAATCTATAACATTTTTCCTAATAATAGCCGGCTCATGAGAAAATAGGAGTTGTAGATGCTCAGTGGATCATCCACCAGGGGATTCCTTCGCTAGGAAATCAGGTGGGTAGATACCGCAATTCTATCTAGGGTGAATATCACCAACGACAACACCCCCCCTTCCCTCCCTCCTTAAATTTCGTTTTCTGACTTAACCCTGAAAACTTTTCCCATAAAACCCCCCAAAACTCCAAAGAATCTCAAATAACGCCTACAACTTTTTAAGTTTTCCTACAGAACCCCACAAAAAGCAAAGAGAAGGGGAGTAACAGAAGTTACAGACTTGGGCAAGCAATAAGATCCTCCAATTGCAAGACACTTTATAGGGATTTTGTGGGAAAATTTAAAAGGTTTGGGGAGTTATTTGACACACTCTGGAGTTCTGGGGTTTGTGGGAAAAGTTTTGGTGGTTTAGTTTGAAAAAGTTCAGGGGGTTTTGTGACAAATGCCCCAAAGTTTTAGGGGGTTTTGTGAAATTTTCTATCTACGTATCTTGGTAAGTGGTGCCACGTATCAAATTATGAGTTAAACTCTCTTCATTAGAGCTTCTTTCCTCCCTTACTTTCTTTCTTTCTTTCTTTCTTTCTTGGCATTGAACAGGGCCCTGACAGGAAGGGAAAATCTCCACGGGGAAAGGTAAGAAAATTTCATGGTGCGTTTCTTCATTTTACTTTTCAAGCATACTGCATGTATTCGTTTCAATAGCTTCTAAGAAATGAATGACCGTCGAATCTATGGACAGGTTAGAGACCGGTGTTTTAGAGAGTGGCAGGTGTTTCGTGCTCGAATGGAAAATGCTACGGACGCGTACTCCAGGAAAATGGGTATTAAGCTCCCAAGGAGGAGTAAAAATGTTACCAGAACACCCGGATAAAAATGGATTTAATTTAAATGTTCTGTTTATGGTTCCAACCATCCACTGCTGTAGCGATGGTTCCGATAAGATTTGTACTCCCCAAAGAAGGCATTTATCTACTATAATATATAAGAGGAACTTGTTTGGCTTGTAAATACGAGCTGAAAGTTTTGAAGAGTTATTCCAGCAATTGTTAATTTACATGGAATTTTTTTTTTTTTTTTTTGTGCCGAGATAGAGGCACGGGGAGTTATTTCCCCTAATTTACATGGAATTTTTTTTTTTTTTTTTTGTGCCGAGATAGAGGCACGGGGAGTTATTTCCCCATTTTGTTTTCCTTTTATGCATGGCTAGAAAGTTACAAGGTGAATTTGATATAAAGTCCCCAGGGCCTTTGGAGGCTGTATAATTTTGTTACTTGGAAAGCAATTTGGAATGTTTATGGCGAAGGACAAAGCTACGTATTGTAAAAAGTATTTCTGAAATGTATCTTTCCTATTTACAGAATATGATTCCTGTAGTGATTTACAGTGTGACTAGAGTACGTAGTTTCGGTGGAGGCATGATTTCTCATATTTTAAGGATGATGAATGAGATTGATAATATATATATAGAGATGATGACTTTCCTTTCAGAAGCATTATTCTATGCAAAAAAAGTTTACAAAGAAAACAGCTATGAAGCTAAAGAGTTCCATCGATCTTTCATCTGTCAAATATACTTTCAATTTTCAAGTGAAATGAAATTCACTGCATACACATATTGAACTGATTAAGATTTTAGTTTGACAGCAAAGATGCCGGTGGCCGGTCACGTACGATTGTTTTATAATTGGATTATGAGGGTTTTTTGGGGGCACGCTTCCCAAAACTTGACTATGTTTTAAAATTAACGTTGTTTCCGTACATGTTAAGTACCAGAAATATTGATGTGTAATATAATATATATAATAATAATTATTTTATACTTTTCAAC